TTTCATTCTTATAAATGCAGACCTACTTACCATTTTTAAAAAGTACTGTGCTGAAAATAAAACAAAAAGTTCTTGAAATAAAAGCTTTTTGAGGTTTGAAGGACACAACAAATACCAACCATTCTCCACTTCCGCTTAACTGTGACAATAGCCGACCCTTTATTTCTTTCTTTTTTTAACGGACCGACCCTTTCTTTCTATACATTATTTCTCTCATTTTTAGAACTCTTTTTCTCTCTTTTTATAAAGCATACAACAAATTGACATTAAAATACACAAAATATTCATAACCAAAGTCCTTCAAACTGCCCGTGAGATTATATCTTTTTTATATTTCCTTTTTATCTCGTCTGTATATGAGCTGTAATATGTTTGACCGTTGACTTCCAGATCATGAACCTGACTTGAAGCTTGGAAGATTTACTTAATGCGTTTTTTCTTTATTTTCTTATATTATCAGTTTTAAAGTTGGGGCCAACTCTGCAGACGTCTGCACAGTGCAGTATCCAATGATATAACTTAGAAAGTTATAAAATGTTGATTTTACATATACTAATTGCACCTGAATTATTGGACGGTCTATCTAAGTCAGCACTCATTGTCTAGGCATTATAAAACTATATAGGATGCAAATGGTTGATATAATCATTTTGATCATTTCAAAAATCTAGAGTAAATTTACATAATTAGTTTACGTTAAATGAAATAGGAATTTAAAAATCTTCTCAACATATGTAGAAAGAGATTCTTTTCGAAAGCTTACAAAGAAAAATTATTAGAAGTCTGAATACAAATAAAGTCTAGTATAAAAATAACTAAAATTAGATATTGATAACTTATAGATTGTTTTTGGTTGAAACACAAAAAAATTCGGCGCAAAAAAAAAAAAAAAAATCTTGTTTGTGCGTGTGTGTTAGATACTGTAGATTCGATGCTCAAGTTTATTGGATGATAAAATTCATCTTTACCTGAAACCACATCTCCATATTGGCTCTTGGTCCCAATTAGATAATGCAACGTAAAATTGTAGAGCTCACAAATATATTCCCGCTTGTGTGGATTAATCAAAGTTGACTCTGCACAAGAACATGAGGATTGGGTGTTTGTTTCGCTGTGAAAGAGACTTCTGTAGGTACGATAAACAACATCTCCTCATATTTTATGATGAGATATGACTGACGAAAATAATGTATTCAACAAAGTAACATGCTTGATATAATCTCTTTCATTGATTTTTATCAATTCTCACACTATTTTAACAAAATAATATTTTAATACTCTTGGTTCTTATTTGAGAATCAGGAGTAATTATGATTTTACCACGTAATTAAACTTCAAGGTGATTATAACCGTTATGTATTCTATTTACCAAATTCTCTAATAGATCCAAAACATAACATTATTCTAAGTGGTGGCCAGATAAAATTTCTAATATATTTTTGGATTTTTCAAAAATTATGTAAAAAGTGATATAGTCATAACATCGAGAAAAAATAGTAGTCATATCTGGACAAAAACTTGCCAAAGCATTAAAAAAATAGAAAAGAAATCCAACTTGCTATCAAAAATATGATACTCCATTTAATAGTATATCCATTTAAAACAGAAGATCACCCTTTCCTTTTCTTATCAGCTAAATATCAAGTGGGGATGATTCCCTTGCCATTTCACATTTTCACTCCATTCAGCGTGATTATATATATAGTCTACCTGATATCTAGAAATCTATAAAGTTAGTAAGTAGTAACTAAGGGAGAGTTCTAATTAATTTTTAAAAAGATAGAAAATATTTGCATATTTACATCCGTTTTTTTCCTTGCAGTGAAAAGTGTTGGATTGTTTAATTAAAATAATACACAAAATTTCCAAATAAGTTGAGAGATCCATTTTTATCCTATCATTCTATCATTCTACCAAATATATGATATTTTATTTTAAAAGGGTTAAAATATTTGCTGTGTTAATATGTCTTGAATATGATCTTAATTTCATTTTATGTGTTGAGACTTGAGATGCCTTGAATATGATCAAACATCACTTGCGGTAACATTTAAATCTGTGAAAAGTGGGGGGAAAAAAACGATCGACCCTGATGAAGACAAAATCCAAACGAATCCAAAATATCTAACGGAATAATTTTTTTTTGTGAAACTGTGAAAGGAAACTCGAATAACAAGAAAAAAAAAAGAATATAGAAGTTAAACCAGCCACAAATATTAAAAAAAAAAATCCACACCCCCGTAATATATGCTTCAGGATTTGGAAGAACCAGACAAAGCAAGAAAGGTCAACTATTCTATTGCAAAGGTGAGACAGGTACGCGCGGTGCAAGCATGCAACAGAATCCAAACCACCACTTCTTAATATCTTATCTACCTCTCGATGTTAGTTAACTTTTAATTACAAAAATTAATTTATCATAATTTAATCCTCTTCAATATATCCCGACCGTCCAATGGTTCGAATGGATAGCATTTCTTATTGAAATGTGGGACCCGTTTCTATACCACCCGACAAATGTGCCACGTATTTTTCCCAATTTTTTTCCGCCGCATACGGTGTTTGAGACCATTTAACATCGCAATGTTTGAAAGTTTTTTGTTACTAATCCGGCGTACTAAAAGAATCTACCGTCTAACAATTTAATTAAAGATTTTTTTTTGTTTTATATAAATTCAGTTAGTATACAATCTGAGTGTTTTCTATATTTTCTATATTTATATGAAGATGGTTTGAGAGAGTGGTTCTCCACAAAAGAAACGCCAACATAGAACAGTGAAGTAGTAGTTTCTGTTGTTGAACAAAAAAAAAGTAGTAGTTTCTGTTTCTTGTTTAAAAAAATGATCGATCAAAGTTGTAAAACAGTTTGTTTTAAAAAAAAATATAATTTAACATTAGATTTAAAACAGGTTAAAGTTAAAATTCAAACGTACACTTAGGCACGTATTACGTATATGGCTGATAGTATTGCATTTACGTATCCTATGTGATATATTGTTGAGTTTCAGAAACTAAGGCGGTAAATGAAGGATACGATTGTATATATTTGAACTTATTACAGTAAATCTCGAAAAGAGTTTCAAAATAGAATTCACACTGTGGATGGAAGTAAGGAAAATTGGAAATACATATGCTGTATTTCATGGATTTACATATTCTCGCATTTCATGGCACTTGTTTTTTTTTTTTTTGAACCTTTTCATAGGCACTTGTTATTTTACAGTGTTATCAGAAATCATTTACAAATATAGAGAAAGCTGAAGCACAGAACATTTTTTACGAGTGATTTACAATATCTATGAATCTTGGAATAGTTATGCACCACTCTTCGGGGCCAATTATTAATTTCGTGGGTTACCAATCCATATCTGACACTGTCGCACATATATGTTTTGTTCTCTAATTGGTTTAACGGCCAGCCTCTGTCTTAAAATTAAGCATCATCAGTTGCGTATATTTCTAATGATTCCGAATACAACTTTTTTGTGGACGAATGATTCTGAATACAAATTGAATTCTTTTAATGAACTAAAACACTTTTCATGACTTTGTCTTATTTATTTTGCGGTTAAAAGATTCCCAACATAACATTTGTTAGCACCTTTTTTTTTTTTCATATTAGCATGCATATATCTGTCTTCTCATTCTAAATGTAAAACGAAAGTATGCCTGCATAATTTTAGTGCAAAGGGATAACATTAATAAATGATAAACAATATTTGACAGAATGACTAAACTGTAAGAAAGAGTGATAAGAGAGTTAGAGAGCGGTATAATTATAAATCACAGTAATGATACCATTTTCAGAAATCGCTTTTTGATTAGTAATACTAGAAGAAATGATACACATTTACCTTAAAGATAATTGGTTACCAATCAAAGGCACATTTCATGTTTTAATTTATTTTATAATAATGACCTATTAATGAAATAAAATAAAATGAATTAGAAATAGACAACAAATAAAACGATAAAGGTAAGAATGTGATATAACGATTAACGAGTCAACATTACTATTTTGAAACTCTCACACTTCTCTTTGTTTGTCATTTTCTGATCAACGTGTCATATGTCTTGCAATATGTAACAGTCGAATTTGGCCAAGTCAGCATCTGACCAAATTTATGGGTTTCGTCTCTGTAATTAGGCCAAAGCTCTAGATGTAGCTTTCGGTTTAGTTAAATACTAGTAATCTTATTATTAAATGATTTTAATTTTGTATTGAACAAATCATCAACTTGCCAACCTCTAGTGTTACTTTTTTTTGGCAGATACTTTGTACTCTTAATGTTTATGAATTATGATAGGAGCAAAACAAAATGTGTTAGACCTACAATTTAATATTTAATTGTGAAAAAACACTAGCCTTGAACTGAGTGTTTTTTCGGCGGAAATTTTGAATTGCCTTATTGCCCAAGTCCAATTATGATGGGCCAGTTCAAGGCAGGCCCAACCAAATAGCTACGATCAATTTTTTACTGCTAGAGTTACTGATTTTTTTTACTCTAGCAGAAGCAATAATCACACGTCATAATGCATAATGACTGCTGATGTAAGCCCAAGCTCGAGGTCGGCCTAGCAAAGCCCGTTCTTGCTATTCGATTATAATTTGTCGCTTATTCAACAGTAAGGTATATATATATATTTTTGTCAAACTTCTTTTGATCATATCAGCGTTCAAATTTAATAATCTTAGAGAAATTGTTAGCAACGAAAATCTCGCATCCAACAAAATTTCCGATTTAATACTATTTTCACTGGACTGTTTATTAAGTACACGATCATCTGAAGAAATTGTTTCAGCTTGAAAAACTGAAACCAAATATTTTTTGTTTTGTTTTAAATGAAACAAAATGCAAAACTCAATCCTCTATATCAATCACACAAACTTATTTTATCCAAATCATACGATAACTCATAGATTTGGAAATTTAATCATCCAAGAAAAGAACACATCATGATAAACGAATGATCCTAAATCAACGAGTGTTTTTGGTTAATTTGTTGTTGTTTTATTGGGAAAAAAAACTTATAAAGAAACAACTAAAAAGATCTAAGAACTTAGAAGTTGAAGGAACTGGAATTCTTCCTGCACTCGAACAGCGAATCCATGAAGATGTGACATTTGCTTAGATTATTCCCTTCCACATTCAAGCACTGCAAATCATCAATAAAACACATTAAAAAAAACAAGAAACAAACAATCACAGAATTTTGCAAATGATTCTGGAATTAGGGAACATTCATCAATTCTAGGCCTTACGTCTTGAAACGCATTATAGCTGATACTGCATGATTCAGTATAATCCTTGAATTTATCGTTATTATCCTTGGCAGAAACAGCAGCAACTTCGACTTTCTCTGGTAAAACAATCTCTGTTTTAATGGTTCTAGGACCAAAAATGGATTCAACGAATCTGTGTCCCATCGCATTTCCACTCCCCCAACCAAAACCTAATTAATTTCCCTCAAGACGTTAAATTAAATTGAAAAGAAAAAGAAATGCAAAGAGATTTTTTTTTCTTTTATTTAATTAAGTTTAATTGTTATACCATCAACTATGGACGAAAAAAATCTTCCAGACCTAGTTTCACCATGAGTTGTCTCAACTCTAGAAGGAGGATGTGCTTTTTCATCTTTTTCATCTTTCACTGCACCGAAATTTAAAATATATACTGTAAAATTGATAAAATATTGATTATTCAATGTTAAGAAGAAGATTTTTTTTTTTCTTTTTCTTACCAGGCTTAGGAGACGGCTTCTTACGGTGAGATGGCGTAGAGCGAAACTTAGGCCATCCACTTGAATATGATCTACTGGATGATCTACCTCCTCCTCCTCCTGCAGCAAAATCTTATTCGAATTTCCGTAAGACTAATAATTAGGGTTACGTCTCAAATTTGTGCGTTTAGTGGGACTAATCAACAATCGAAAATTCAATTAAAAACTAAAAAAAAATGGGGGAAAATGAAACACATCGGCCACAGATTTTTACAAGTAAATCTTTGAAAAGCGTAAAATGAAACACGATTATACGAAGAAAAACCAAAACTAAGAACAAGTTTGGAAACGTAAGAATGGGAAGATTTACCACTGCGGCGACCCATTGTGAGTGTGAAATCTGATAAAATTACGAGTTTTTTTCTTTTTGGGAGATTAGGGATTTGTTTTATAGGTGTGTTATGCGTGACACCCAAGCCTTGAGGATCGGAGTTGCTGGTTTTATCAACGGATAAAAATAACCACAAAAAAATAAAGGGATATAAAATGTATATTCTTCAATCTTCACAATGATATTTAAAAGCCGAGATTTTCTAACGGATATAAATATTTTATTTTTTCCTATTTGTACCTATAATTAGTGTCATTTTTCTTCTAATCTATTGATCATATATATTTGATTGACACATATCTTAACTTAATTTAATTGGTTAGATGATTTTGGAAGGAAAGTTATGGAAACTTTATCTTTCATCACTTGTCAGTATATACAAGATATCTTCTACTATTAACTGTTGAGAGATTATGTCCATTTTTGTCTGTGTTGTTCTATATATAAATCACGAGACACGACTTCATCTTACTTCTCTTTTATTACAACATAAACTCACCTGCTTCAAAAAAAAAAAAAAAACCAAAACTACTAGAAAAAAAAACAAAAATAAGCGAAAGAGAAGAAAAAAATGGGTGAAGAAGAGGGGACAATTTCCTCGGATTCAACGACGAGACACAGAAAGCCTCTCGGTTGGAAAGCTATGCCTTACATATTAGGTACTTATATAATCACTGTCCGATTTTTCATAATTTGTTTCCTGATTTTGTGGTTGGTAAACTAAAAATCAAGCAATGCAGCGAATGAGACACTAGAGAGGCTTGCTTCTTATGGACTGACGTCGAATTTCATGGTGTACATGGTAAGAGAGTATCATATGGACCAAGTCCAAGCTGCGACTTTAATCAACAGTTGGTCTGCTCTCACCGACTTTACTCCGATCATTGGAGCTTTCATCTCTGACTCTTACACCGGAAAATTTAGAACCATTGTATTTGGTTCCATCTCCGAGTTATTGGTAAATATTTTTCTCATTTTTGTTATAAATTTAATTTTGATTTCTGATGTTGAGTTGATTTGAGATGAGATATGTCATCGGTTATTTGTTTACGGTTAGCGTTTGCGATTAGATTTTTTTGGTCTAAATACGTTTGCGATTTACATTTAGCCTCAGTTTTGTTTTTTTTTTAAACAACCACTTTTTCAGCATTTTAAAGAGTTCGTTTGTTAGTTCTAAAAGCAAATGCCAAACGTAAACAAAAGAAGCTTTCCGTTTTGCATGTAACATATGCGTTACACTTGATAAAATTATTTTATGTAACTTTTAAATCTGATATTCTATATAAACTATTTTAAAAATGTAACGGCAAACACAAGCGTAGAAGTGGTGTTTGGAACAATCTGACACTTGTAATTGTTTATGTTCGAATTTTGGACAAGTGACAAGGGTTCTAAACTTCAACAGGGCATGTTAATGTTGACTATCACTTCTCTGATCCCTAATCTACGACCACCACCTTGCACTTCCGACCATATCACCGGAAAATGTATCCCCTATAGCGATTCGCAGTTATACGTTTTACTCTCAGGACTTTTCTTGTTATCAGTGGGAGCAGGAGGAATCCGTTCATGCAGTGTTCCTTTTAGTCTCGATCAATTCGATGACTCCACTGAAGAAGGAAGAGAAGGAAGTAGAAGCTTCTTCAGCTGGTACTATACAACTCATACAATCGTCCAGTTAGTATCAATGACTCTAGTGTTGTACGTACAGAACAACATCAGTTGGGCCATTGGGTTCGCAATCCCGAGCGTTCTCAATTTGTTTGCGCTTTTTCTTCTTTTTGTGGGAACTCGGTTTTATGTCTTTCTCAAGCCTCAAGGAAGTGTGTTCTCTGGGATCTTCAAGGTTCTCGTGGCTGCTTATAAGAAACGTAGTGTACAGTCTCCTTCTGAGATCGACTATTATCGACCGTTACTAGAGACAAATTCGCAATCAAATGAACCCGTTCTCACTGATCAATTCAGGTAAAACTTTATTACTCTACCTGTTTCAATGTAATATAAATTTTGGCATAAAACATCTTTTTTAACTTCAAGTAATTAATTTCTTAGAAAATATTAGAAGACAATACCTAAAGTCAACTTATTTTTGAAAAATATATATAAGTAACCAATGCTCTTAAGCATTATATATGTATATATTTATATATTGAACTGTGCTCTTAAGCATTATTTAAGAACCTTGAGAAAAAAATCTGAAAATATACTTAAAAACGGAAACTCTAATACTGTTAGGTGTATATATATCTATATATGCAAATAAATGTGGTTAGCAAACTATGTTTTGGTTTCAGATTCTTGAACAAAGCTGTGATAGTGATGGATAACGATGAAGCTAGAAATGAAGAGTGGAGAAGCAGCACCGTGAGACAGATAGAGGATATAAAGTCTATCATACGCATTACTCCAATATTTGCTTCAAGCTTTCTAGGATTCTTAGCTTTGAACCAACAACAAACCTTTACGGTCTCACAAGCACTAAAAATGGACCTTCGATTTCCCGGTACTTCTTACCTAATCCCTCCTGCTTCTATAACCGTAATATCTCTATTAACCATAGGGATATGGCTTCCCTTCTATGAAACCGTTCTGGTCCGACCGATTGAACACATTACAAAGCAAGAAGGAGGCCTCTCGTTACTCCAAAAGGTTGGGATTGGGAACTTTTTCTGCATCTCGACGATGTTCTTATCGGGCATCGTGGAGGGGAATAGAAGAGATTTATCCCTTACCGGTGTTAACATATCGGTTTTCTGGCTAGCCCCGCAACAAGTACTGATGGGGTTTTATCAAGTTTTCACCATTGTTGGTCTCACTGAGTTCTTCAACAAACAAGTTCCAATCAACATGAGAAGCATAGGAAACTCCTTGCTTTACTTAGGCATGTCTTTAGCTAGTTATCTAAGCAGTGCGATAGTGACCATTGTTCATAGTGTGACTGCTCGTGGAGGAAGACAGAGTTGGCTCTCGGATGATATTGACTCAGGCAAGTTAGATTATTTCTATTACTTTATTGCCGCTTTAAGCACCCTTAATATCATCTTCTTCTTGTGGTGTGCTCGAAGGTATCGTTATAGAAACATGTGACATCTTTTATTATAAGAACACTCATTTGTATAACTGAGACTCATGATATTCAACAAACTGAGGAATATCTTAAAGTACGAATAATAAACTTTGATTTCCAAAAAATACCACAGCTTGTTTTGTGAAGTCTTCCTAAATTTTTAAAATATTTCCTAAATTGTATGTGGTATTTTGGGAATAAAATAGAAAAGAGTGGTGTTTTTAAAAATAAACTTTTCAAAACTTTACATTTTAGATATTATATTTAACATGTTGTAAAAAATATTTCATTAATTTTCATTGTCTTGTTTTTTTTTTAATAAGATCTCATATACCTATTTTCAGTTTTAATCAACTTCAAGAAATCAGAATACCTCATAAAGAGATATGTATCCCATGATCTCAAAATCTCTCATATATTGAGAACCATTCTCGTCATTTTTCTTTTAAATTTTGTTTTTTTCTTTTTTTTAGAAACTCAATTCAAACATGTCTAGTAAAGTAATATACGCATGGACTCGCAGACAAATATATATATATACGCATGGACTGAAACAAACAAAATAAACGCATTGACTAGCTTCATGTACAATTTGTCTTTGGGTGATGTTAATTAGCTGTCCTTTCATGATTCATATAGTATTAACTAAAAACGAAAATCATTACTTCATCAATAATTGGAGTTTCGATGGAAACAAAAGATCGTGGAATATTCAAAACTTGGTGGGCAGTTAGATCAACCCTGTGTGTTGTTTATCTTCACTACAGTTCACGTGTTTCTGAGTCTAGTTTCGTTCATCACTTTTTTTTTTTTAATGGAATATTAAATTATTCAATTCAAACCCCAAAAACATCGTTTTTATAGGTTTTACAACTAGTTTTGTTCATCAATTATTAATAAGTACGACAGATATAAATACTCCATAAATCATAAAATTAACAAAGAAAATGAAAACAGAAAGTATAACAACTAACTTTATGAAACAGTTTACAAACATCGATTAGTTTAGAAAAGAATTTCTCAGAAAAGTCGTCACATGTCTCATGCCAGCTCTTTGGTAAAATATCAGCATGAAGAGACCCACGAAAATGAACAAATCAAACAGTGACCGGTAAATTTGACAAGGCGTTAAATTTATGTAATGAGTTACAGTTCAAAAGAGAAGGAAAATGTCATATTGAAATTAATTAATATGATGGGATCAGTGTATTTAATGTAATTTGAAAAAAAAAAATAGCAATAATTAGAGCTCAAATGGGAAGGCATGCAAATACGGTGGTCCACCGATCCTTATCATGGTCTTGTACACACTTGAAACAGGATACAAGTCAATGAAGCTGTCTTCTCATGGACTGCTCTTACGCTAATTGTAGCTCTGCCTCCTGAAAGATACAGAATATCCTCCCTTTCATCGAATTTTCGCTCAATTTTTTCATATTTTCGTTTTTAGGTTAACAGAATCTTCAATTTGGTAACGTGTCTTAGGCCTAGCTGAATTCATCACAAACTTGAAAAGATACACTCTACGCAGAAAAAAATATTCTTTTAAATATAGTTTTGAGATATAAACATAAAACCCTATATGTGGATTTGTGAGGACCCACTTCCAACTCGAACAAATCTATTTGATGATGAATTTGTTATCTATATTTTACCACTGAATTATGAATTACCAAAAGGATACCTGAGCAGTAACTCTAATCGCACTCTTTGGAAGATCAAAATTCGGGCAGCTTATCAATATAAGAACACACACTTTCACGAATCACGATTAATACAGTAAAATCTGAAGATTTCAAAATTTTTGAAAATTCCATCTACCAATAATTCTTCATAAAACAGTGTTATAATAAAATTGTAGGCGCACATGCTAATTGATAGAATTTGATAAGGAAAAACATTAATCTCGGTCGAATAATAATTATTTGTGATCTCCACTACAGAAAATGGAAAAAGTTTATAAATCGACTATTACATCGTCACAATGAACAGCCTCGGTTTACCATTACCATCACTTGAACTAGCATAATAGATACACTAAGATAAACAAAACCCTATATACATACGTATAGTATCATTATCAGTCTAATAACAAGAAAATAAATCCGTCAAATTAACAGTCTTACTACAAAACATGATAAAGTATATATTTGAAGTTGCCAATATTTTCCTACAACATACCGCTAATATTCCTATAATATAAATGATTGTTATGTTTCCTTCCACAGGGTCAAAATATTTTCCCACATTTAACATGCTTTTTCTATTAATTATGGTATACTTTACAAGAAAATATCATATCAAAGATCTTTCAATCCAACCAAATACGTCGGTAGATATGGTCATATATCAAATACAAACTAAAAGAAAAGTGTGCTTTCTAAGAGTTGGAGTTATCTATCGACCTCCATATACATTTTCGTTATTCGATTGCGACCCGCACCACACAGCTCAATCTTTGGATCATAGAGACAGATAAATAAAAGCGGTCCAAACCTTTTGTGGCCACGGTTCAATTCATTTGACCATGGAAGACGCGTTTGATGAGATTTATCGAACGGTGTAGATGATCTGACCACAAAATCGAACGGTGGTAATGATATGGACCCACTTCAAAGGTCGAAACAAAAATTTAATAAAGAAAGAAACGACAAAATGGGTTTGCGTAGAAATGTAAGGGCTCGTAGCATGCGACAGTGTTAGGCACTTGCATTTGCCTAAAAGGCGAAAGAAGCCTACCTCATCTTTTCGAGTTTCTCTATCTTCTGTCTCGACTCACCGATTTAATGTTTGTGTTCAATTTGAGTTTTACAAGTTTAGTCTAATCCTTGGCTAGTCTAATATAAAGTTTCAAATATATAATTCATAACTTTAATAACAACTTTATGTTTTATATTAAATTAGATTATGTCCCATATGATACGTGATGAAATAAAAAAAATTACAAGTGATGACTCATATAATTATGATCTTTATAATTTGATTTTTGAAGTCAAACATTTGTTTATTTATCCCAATACGTTTTGTAATTAAAATTTTGAAAAGTTAAGATGAATATCCCATAAACAATATATATATATATATATTATAAATTTTATTTTGTTCATACATAATATAAATTAAAGATGACATGTCACGATCTCGTGAACTATAATTATTTTATGTATCACGGTCATGTTGAATAATTCAATATATTATATATTTATTCACTTATACAAAATTATTGTTTTAAGTTAATTAAAAATTTTGAATATACAAATACATAAATATATAACTTAAAATAATAAATATATGTGGAAAAGTTTAGATTACGGTTTATAAAAATAAATATCGATAGTTTTCTTTCCTATAAAATAATGCATATAAGTAATTTATAATTTTAAAATTTTTAGTAAGAATAATTGGTGGTCTATCAATGTTTTTACTGCAACAAACCATCCTAACTTCAAACTTTCGAATGTTGATGTTTGGATTAATATTTTAAACAGGATCTACCGATAGTTTAAAGAAGCCATGCTGCCTCTCAATCCACTACAATCTAGTACGCATACAAGCACCCTTTCACAACCATATAATCTAAAAAATAATCATTATTTATTAAACGTATAAATAATATGATAAATTCCTTTAAAAAAAGGGTAAAGGCTATACTTATATTAAATATTATTACATTTTCCTAAATAAAATTTTGTCTTTGAATCAAGCCTATTTTCAACCGTTTCACTTGCACATGCTAAAATTAAAGAGGATAGGGTAGATCAACCGCTATAGACTTGCCATTCAACCATTTCCGTATCTATAATTTTGTTCACAGTTAAAATCTTAATTGGTTCTGCATGCCAAAGAAGTATGTGACCAATAAAATAAACGTTATAAATCGAGATGGTATATTTTGATGCTCAGTGTCTTACTCTTAGTGCCTAGGAGTGGATAAAAGGAGGAGACGGTACCCCTGCCACTAAAAGTGATAACAAAAAGTTAGCAAAGTTCGACTGATTAACATTGAAGGCGATCCAATCAAACCTTCATTTAAGAAATTTAGAAACTTAAGAAAAAAGAATGCCTTAATTAATACTATTATTTATGATATAATTATATTGTTTTTAAGTAAAATTAAGATGCGATATTCACACCCTATATATATCAAACCATATATGATTGGCAACATACATAAAAATGCGTAAGGATCATACGGACCATACCGTACCCATCAAACCTCCAGAACATAATTTACCGTAATTTTTTTTTCATTATATATAATTTTAAACTTTATATTGTACCGTAACAAATGTATGAAACATGGTAGATTCAGAATGTTACGTACGATGTAAGAAAAAAAAGAATACATAAAAACATAGCTCTAAAATAGCTTTCTTTTTCCGCTTCCAACTTCTCACGTGGAGGCTACTAGTGGCGAACGTCATTCAAAATCATGTACACCCACCATATAATATCTATCTACTCACTCCCTTATATATACATATGTACACACACTTCCACATTACAACCAAAAAAGCTTCCAACAGCAAGAAAGTGTACGAGTGATGTGCCCACTCTCGACATTTATCAATCATTTCATGTGTTTTTCTTGATTTATTTATATATATTGCAACAAAGTGAGGATATATAGAATCTCACGACATTAACTCCGCCATAAATTCGAAGTGAGAATTATTTCTGAGTGTAGTTAATAAATCTTGGAGATGGTTTTGAAGGATATAAAGGATGATTCTTCTTTGCCACGATCGTCCGGTGGTTTCTCCAAATCTTCGCCGCCACCACCAGAGGTGGAAGCTGTTGATCCATACAACCGGAAAATTTCGCCAGATTCTATGTTGGGTGCTGAGAAGGTTCAGAAAAAGCCCGGAGGATGGAGTGCCATCACGTTCATTTTAGGTACGTCTTTTTTTTTTGGGGTTAGTGAACGTAATTTATTTTTGTTAACCTAATTCTTGACCTGTCTTGAGTTTCCATAATTGTATAAATTCTAGAAACCAGCGAACATATATACATCCTTTGTAGTTGGACGTTTCAACTTTCAAAATCACGTTTTGCCTAAATCCTTGCACATAATAGACAGACAAAGAAAAGAAGAGTTAAAAAATTTATCATTGTTGTTCTGGAAAGCTATAAAAATTAAAAGAAAGAAAGAAATGAACGCATAATCTCTTTAACTAACTTTTATATAAATTTCGTTTTTTCTGAAGAATTAAGTCATATTATATTGTAAGTTGTAACCGTCGGTCTATCATGTTTGACACTCGTCCATCTGAATTCTTTATCATTGAAACGGAAAGAAGATTGTAACATATATCTTCATCTTTTTAAAAAATATATAAAATTAGTTAATTTGCTGACATTTTGTATATTTATTATAATAAAATTCGTTGAAACAGGAAATGAGACGTTGGAGAGACTAGGAACGATTGGGTTGTTGTCAAACTTCATGGTGTATCTAACCAGAGTGTTCCACTTAGAACAAGTCGACGCTTCAAATGTCATCAACATCTGGTCTGGTTTCACCAATCTCACTCCCCTCGTCGGCGCGTTCATCTCAGACGCTTACGTTGGCCGTTTCAAGACCATCGCTTTCGCCTCATTCGCCACCCTCATCGTACGTTTTAGTAATATTCCTCTCTTTAATTTGATCGAAATAATAATCTAATGTGTCTACATATATACACACACGCACTTGCATACAAATATTACTAGTAGTAGTAATAGTAACACTATTAAGTCATAACATACTAACTCTTCAGTAGAAAGTTATATTATTACTCTATATATTTATGTCGATGTGTGGCGAAGATACATGATACTTGGCACATAATTACATCGCGCACGTGGACATGATAACGTAAATACGTTAGGACAAACTTATATTCAACAAAAATTAGAATACTAAAACTTTATAATATATATTTCACCTATTTATTGCTTTTGTATCGTACGAAAACGCTCGAAATTATAGAGGGACCACGTTTTCAAGGACGATAAGGTCGGTCGATTATGTGAATCATAAGACCGAAAGCATTCGGTAGTACACAAATTGTTGTCGGTACTTAACTTGGGCTAACTTTATATATCACCCAAATTGTTTTTATAAGAGAAAAATAGATATTTTTACCTCACAGAAAACAACTTTTATTAATTAGTAATACATTTTCCATTAAAGACGTTCCGTAATAGAACGGAGTTCTGTCTTTGGGGATAAAGAAAAGTGCGTAGAAAAGGAAGAAACTGTACATGCAAGTGGTCGATGTAGATTAGGGATAATGAGATTTTCCAATAATTGAATTTTGAGATGATATAGCTAACTGAAAGAGGTGTAGATTTGGTCAATCACAGTGACGTAACGTAACGTATGTAGTGATAGTGTCTTTTCTAATGTCTTTTTCATTCATTATTATAGAATTATGATCAAAAGTGACGTATCTTATTTGTCGCATCCCTGCAAATCACGTGTTAACTCCTCTTACATCTTCTTTTTGCCTTTTTCATATAGTTGTTTAAACATTCATAAGGAACCTAGATTGATACAATTAACTAATACTTTTTCTGTCTTAGGGTTGCAACAAAAGAATGCTATTAGGTTCTACGTCATGATCAGTTTGTCACCAACTGTTACCTAATCAAAGTAATGGCACCTTTTAATCATATGAAGTCAAACCTAATAAAGACTATCGTTAACTTAATTAGTTGTTTGTTTGTATCTGACCGCACAACTCCAATCCAATTCACAATACATATTGCTTGCTTTTAATTACAAGTACCTAATTAAAGTAAGATCACCTTTCAATCATATGAAGTCAAACCTAATTAAGACTATTCTTAGCTTAATTGATTATTTTCTTGTATATTTAGTCCCATAACTTCAGCTATCCCACAATATTGTTTTCCTTTTCAGGATAAGTATATTCAATTCAATTTCAAGGAATAGATCATCATAATTAATGAAGATTCGATTAGAAAACCGAAGGATGAGTTGATTAGTAATGTTTAATCATTTTCTTAAAAAAAATATGCAGGGACTAGTGACATTGACACTCACAGCATCGCTTCCTCAACTCCACCCAGCAACATGCAACAGCAAAGACCCAGTCAGTTGTGGCGGTCCTAACAAGCTCCAGTTTGGAATTTTGCTGTTAGGTCTCGGTTTCCTCTCCATAGGGAGTGGAGGAATAAGACCATGTAGCATCCCTTTTGGGGTTGACCAGTTTGACCAGCGAACTGAAGAAGGTCTTAAAGGAGTAGCAAGTTTCTTCAACTGGTATTACATGACTTTCACTGTGGTTCTGCTCATTACACAAACCGTGGTTGTGTACATCCAAGACCAAGTCAGCTGGATCATTGGTTTTAGCGTCCCTACAGGACTCATGGCTTGTGCTGTTGTTATGTTTTTCGCCGGGATGAAGCTTTATGTCTACGTTAAACCCGAAGGAAGTATATTCTCTGGAATCGCTCAAGTTGTCGTGGCAGCTCGGAAAAAGCGAAAAATGAAGCTCCCTGCGGAAGATGACGGCACTGTGACCTACTATAACCCACCCGTTAAAGATAGCGTGTTATCCAAGTTACACCATAGTAACCAATTCAGGTACTTTATATATATTCTTTTAGGTTTTGACGTATTCTTAAATTGTGGCTTTCTTCATTTTAACCTAAAATCTAACTCCAATTGAAATAAAAATTAGGTTTCTAGACAAAGCGGCGGTGATAGTAGAAGGTGACCTAACATCGGAGGGAGTTCCGGCGAACAAGTGGCGGCTATGCAGCGTCCAAGAAGTGGAAGAAGTAAAGTGTTTGATCCGAATAGTTCCTGTTTGGTCGGCTGGAATTATCTCACTAGCGGCCATGTCGCAACAAGGAACATTCACGGTCTCTCAAGCTTTGAAAATGGATAGACATATGGGTCCAAACTTCGAGGTTCCAGCTGGTTCTCTCTCCGTCATCTCTCTCCTTACCATCGGCGTTTTTCTCCCCTTATACGACCGCGTTTTAGTCCCGTTTCTCCGCAGGATCACCGGCCATAAATCCGGAATCACACTCCTCCAACGAATCGGGACAGGGATCGTTTTTGCGATCCTTTCTATGATTGTAGCCGGTCTCGTGGAGCGTGTGAGACGCACACGCTCCATCAACGCCGGAGATCCGACAGGGATGACTCCAATGTCGGTGTTTTGGCTCTCGCCGCAGCTAATTCTCATGGGACTATGCGAAGCGTTTAATATTATTGGACAGATTGAGTTCTTCAACAGTCAGTTTCCGGAACACATGAGAAGTATCGCTAATTCTCTCTTCTCTTTATCTTTCGCTGGTTCGAACTACCTTAGCAGTTTGATAGTGACGACTGTTCATAAATTCACCGGTGGTCGTGACCGTCCGGATTGGCTGAACAAGAATCTCAACGCGGGAAAATTGGACTACTTCTATTATCTGATTGCGGTTTTGGGTGTGGTTAACCTGGTTTATTTTTGGTATTGTGCTCGGGGATACCGGTACAAGGTCGGTCCACAGATTGGAGATTTCGAGGAAGACAAGAGTTTCTCTGATGTTGAGATGAGTTCCAAAAAACAGCTGAAATGATTTTAGTAAGTCTGGTTGGGAACAACAGGAACATGATCGATGTTGTTTGAATACTATGACAATGTGTATGTGTATAATAGATAAGAACTAGATTATATAATAAATTACTCTTATCACTTTTTCACGATACTTCGTAGAGTGTAATCAATAAATCGAATTTTAAAATCATGGAACTAATCTAATTGGTGTACTTCATCATCGCTCTTCTAGCAAAAATAAAATTGTAGTCAACCAAGTAAATTTTTACTTTACCAAAAAATTGCAATGGACAAATGTATTAAAGCCCAATACAACAAGCATAAGGAAAAAGCCCAATGTAATGTTCATACATTCAATTAAGTAGTGCCAACAAACTCATGTGTTTGGGGTTTCCTAAGAAATAGGTTCACAGAAAGGTGCTAGTTATGAGAACAATGAATGTAATTTTGAGAGTAATCTCTTTGGCTCTTTGCATCTAATAAAGCTCAAAGTTAGATATCAAACTAAACTTACATATCTTCGTGTTCTTCATTTAAGTTTTCCCTTTCTTACTTTCTTTACACCTAATAAAGCTTAAATAAGCTATCATTTTAGGCTTGAATCTTTTTTGGTTTTGGATTTGCTCCCAAAGTGTATGTTGAAATCAGTGACCATTCTGAAAGGCATATATATATGATATAAAGTTTTGCCAAGTGAAGCTTTAAGTTTGGATAAACCTAAAATATATTCAAACGCGCGATAAGATTCTTGAGCAGCTCAATGAGATGAGGATGTTTGATTACAGTTGCAACAACGAACCAGACTTACAAGTTTAGCTTATAGTAAAAGCTGCTTTCCTTTGACTAATACATGAGTCTTTAGCCACGGTTATGTGAAATCACACGTTCCTTTATTTCCACATGTAGTAGACGATGGTTTAAAAAACATGAGTTTCATTACAAATGCAATTAAAAATTGTTATTTATTATTATCTAGCATATCAAATCCAAAACACATTTGAAGTAAGCAAAGAATCTATTATGTTTATGTTGTGACTGCGACTTCGTCTAATATATTCCATCATTCATTTCACCTACACTGATTTCCGGTAAGACTGTTCACATAGTCACTCTCGATATGTACACTTGTATGCTTTAAGCCTTCTACCATTAAATTTTAAATCGAAAAAATTAAACTAAAATCATTTTTATAGGCTATTAAGGGAATCATATATTGTGGAGATTTGGATTCCTACTTTTTCACGATTTCACGGCTGTAAAAAAAAGTCAGATACTTCTGCGGTTCCTTTTTTCTTCTCCTTTACGAGTATAATAGTAAGTCGCACTTGGGAAAAAAGATAAAAAAATTTGCACTTGAGAGAAAAAAAAAAAGCTAAGACTCTTCAGCTCTGTATGTCGTTTTATCACAACACAAAGTTTCCTGACTAGTATCACGCTTAATTTGATTTTGTGGTTGCATAATAGTTAAGTTTCTCAGTTTAGATAGAAATTTTAATTTTTCCTAGACTCGAAACAAACAATCTAATTCAACATACTATACAATTCTAAAATTGTTCAATATACTTGATCATGCGATCAAAATAGAGTAAAGAACAATGTAAATGGATTACCAAAACTGGTAAGCGCGCGTCTTTAGAATCCCAATTACAAATTTGGAGTCTTCAACTTGATTTTAGATTGCGGCTTAACAATTTATTAACGTTTCGTTCGCAAAAACGTTTTGCTTACTTCATAGAATACTTTTCAGCGACAACATATAAACACTTAAAGCCAATAATAGAAATTTTAGTGTGAAATTTGTTGACCTTTTACGGCCACTAGGTCCACAACAAGAATAACCTGATGTTATAAAAGCCAACTCTTCCTTTCACCTTATACTCAAAGTAAGAGAGCAATTCTCAAAAACTATTTGCTTCTTTCTGCATAGAAATAGAGCTACTGAGACAATGGGTGCTAATTATTCTTCGCCAGGTCAGAGATTTCCGGTGACCGACCTCCGTGCCAGGCAACCATGGACACCTCGCTTCGAGTCCGAGATTGCTCCTTACAGAGTCAACAGTCCCTCTATTGTGGAAATCAAGAACAGGAATCAGTGGAAATCTCGCCTCAGCGCTCTCAAAGACACCAACAAACTGGTAACATATTACTTAATGCGCTTGGTTTTCTAGGTTTACTTTGAGAGTATTATAATCTTACATTCAATTCTCGTGTGGATATATATAGCTAGTGATCCAGTTCACAGCCAAATGGTGTGGACCATGTAAATCCCTTGAACCGAAGCTTGAAGAGTTGGCAGCTAAGTACACCGATGTTGAGTTCGTGAAAATTGATATTGATGTGTTAATGGTAATAATTATCCAATCTGTTTTCCTCATTTCTTTCTAAAAGTCCAACTAGAAAATAATTTTGAAAGATCTCGAAAAGAATTCGTGTTTTCTTTGAGTTATAAAATATTGTTTGGTTGTAATACAGAGTGTATGGATGGAGTACAACCTTCATACTTTGCCCGCGATTGTATTCATGAAGAGAGGCAAAGAAGTAGACAGAGTTGTGGGAGTGAAGTTTGATGAGTTAGAGAGGAAGCTCCACAAATACACACAATCCTTCTTTTGAAAAATATGAAGCTTTTACTTACTTGCATGCCAAACAAAGCTCCTCATGATCACCTTACGCCAATAATTGTTTGCAACTATATATGAATAAATGTTTGAACTTGGATTTGCATGTACCTGTCCAAGAGTAATTTCCTACTATATCTGATCAAATAAAACATAATTTGTGTGATATAAAGGAATTGGAAGTTGAATTTGCATGTACCTGTCTTGTGCAATAAATTTATTACTTGATGATTTATATGGTTAATTCTTTCATGTTCTTCCCCACACAGCCTAATTTGAGGCATATTAGTATACCAAATCATGTCTCAAATTCAAATATTTACGATTCTTTTTAGCTAGATGAGATCATAACGCAAAATCCCATTCAAAGATAAAACTTTAACTAAAAGAATGATTTGTAATATTTTACACCTTTTTAGCAACATCTTAACAAAATACCATTCGAATATAAAAAAAAAAACTATAAACAATATGATTTTTGATATTTAAATTAAGTACGCATTGATTTTGTTAAGATGATTTCTTGTTGTTATTAAAGTTTTCTACTAAAGTGTTAATTGTTGTGTTCAAGTTGATAGTAGAAAAAACAATTTAGTAATATCAAAAGGAAAAAGGAACAAATTAGTAGAAGAGTTGGTGAAGACTTGCGCAATTATGCTTGGGCACTTAAGTACTTGATTAAAAAAAAACTTTAATAACAACAAGAATTCTTGATGGTGAATAATGTTCACAACTTCACATACAATTAAATTTAAAATGATTCGTTTACAAAATAATATTATGTACAACAATAAAATGAAAGATTATAGCACCCACAATAATAATCCATCTATATATTCTAAAATTAACACTCTTATCTAATGGAACCGAGGACTAGTCGTGTACCTTTTGATCAACACCATCTCTCAAATCTTGTGAACTATAATACTTAAGACCACTATCGCAAGAGACACACAGCATGCCGTTTAAGAGGAACTTGAGGGTACCAGAACGACATGCATTGTTCCGCTATTGGGCGGAAGCCGCAAACGAAGAGGAAACAGCTTGCCGTTTAAAGGATTGCGTGTACAGACAACAACATCATCCATGCTAGTCTCTTCCCTCAGCGCCTGCGTCAACTGTTCCACGCTGTTTCCTTTGAAAGTCAAAGCGTATCCAACGGCTGACTCATCTTCCACGTGTCCTTCTTCGTCCGCGATATGGTAATGTATGATCTTCCCTTCAGATTTCGGTGGTGACTGAGTCAACTAGTCAACACAAAATCAAGAAAATGTTAAGACGGCAATCTTGAAAATATCCATAGGGGTATGTTCATAATTTGGAGTATTTTTTCTTTTTTGTCGACTGTTCATAATTTGGAGTATAGTAAAGAGATAATTGGACACCAAACAAATATCTGAAAAAATCCATGCTCCCTAATAATAAAAATATCTAAATTTGTTGTAATCCGCCTCGTTATTAAAAATAAAAATAAAATGTCGAGTCCTAAATTATGGTACCAACCTCTTCCTCTGAATTTTCTGAAGAAGTTCTAGACATCGGAGGACTAGACGGCCTCCTCCTATGTGGCGGAGGAATTGTCGCCGGAGCTGTCGCCGGAGTGGTCGTTTCGACCAAGATCTCGACGAGATCAACATCCCACAAGAACGACTCCGAAACATGAGGAGAGTCATGAGTGACGGAGTTACGCCACGGAGGAAGTCCACCATTGGCTCGGAGGAAGTTGCCGTATCTAGTCTTGAGCTTCATTTTCGATCCTTCCTTTACCGGTTCCCACTCGACGGACGAGTCTAACCGACTCGGTTTAGACAGAACCACTTTACGCCCCGTGGCACCGAGCAAGAACCGCTCGTTCGAAGCGGTGAGGTAATTACCGTAGCAACTCTTTAAACGGATCACCTCGAAGGAACCTCGAACCGGCTCGACGATCCAACGAGCCCTCTTGTCGGAACCGTTCCTGTCTTGAGTCACCGTCTCTTCGTCCTCGTCCGCCATCAGATACTTCTCATGAACGTTACGCATCCTAACGGCTTTAGCTTTGTTGAAAAACTCCATTGCTGGTACTAGCTAATGTTTATTACTACTGTTTCTTTCTTGTAAGAGTTGAGAAGTCTTTTTTTTAAGAAGACGAATGTGAAGTAAATGTGTTGTTTGGTGTATGGTATTTATTAGTGGACTAAGTCCAATATGGTGCGCCGTGACGTGGACCTTTTACAACCGATAATTTTGAATCTATTGAATAATGAATAGCCATGTGATCAAATGGTTTTAACCACTATGCATGTAAAAGTTGTGCTTAATTGACGTGTTTCAACATAACTTGGGTTTCCACGTTAGCAGATTTGTATATCCATAATAATTCGATGTTGTTGTTATCCTTTTACGTGCGTTTCCCTTAATTCCCGTTGTAACTTGTAACCGAGTGAAAAGACTCAAAGAGTAATGAATTAAGGTATCATATCACCCACACAAAAAAGGGAAATCTGGGACGTTTAAATACATTTTAATTCCAGTGATGAAACTGAATTTTAAAATTAATGTCTACATATTCTATTTTCATATGTATTTATTATCTCTAAACTATAATAATAATTCGATGTTTATCCTTTTACGTGTGTCTTCCCTTCTTTCCTGTTTTAACGTTCCGAGTGAAAAGAGTATCAATTAAGGTATCCTATCACAATTTTTTCCCGAAAAAAGCCTATCACATTTTTTTTTTTTTGTCAACTTCCTATCACAATTATGTCCGACGTTGAAATACATTTATCACAATATATGTGCGACGTTTAAATATATATTCCTACCATAAAATTTAAGAAATTTAATGTAGGAGAGAAATTACATTGGACCTTGTAGTCTACTTGTTTGTATTGTTATCGTTGTTCTATAATTATCCAGATTTTCAAAAAATAAGAATCTAGATTTAAATCCGAAGTTATATGTGTGATAATGTGATTATAGCACAACAAAACTATAATGAAACGGAAATAAATAGTGAAAGTTCTAAAAATGAAAATTCTAACGCACCGTGTTATAGGTTATATAGTAGTTATGGGGTATTGACGAGTGTATTTGCATATATGTATTTTTTTCCTTTTTTTTTTATAGAAAAATATGCATATGCATATATGTATTGCCCGTAAGAAACAGCAAGAGGTGAGATTGACGAGTGTGGGACTCTCTTTAAGGCTTGTCTCTTAAGCCATGTCCCCATGACAAAGATATCGTAATAATATAGTCTTTATACCAACTTTTTTAGACGACTTTTCTCGTGTCTGTGATACGTAACGTTACAACTCTTATTTACGTATAGGGACGTTGTCATGGACTCATGAGCCGGATAAACTGGTTTTTGTGCGCAATCCGCTTTAATATTCGATCTGCTTTGAGCCTTATTGCTTTGGTTTTGTTCTGAATTTAAGTGGTCCGCTGGTCAGGCATCGGTCACCAAGAAAATGCAAAGGAAACCGACTGGGATGTTTCAAAATTATTTACCTACCCTCTACAAAAATGGTTATTGTCTTCTTCTTATTTTTTTGTATTTGTGTTTATCTTGTTTGGGCTTCTGTGAAAATTTGGTTTTTTTCCGTCCTTTTTATGTATTTTGGAATGAGATTTAATTATTAACAAACACCAACAAAAAAAAGCATGTTATGCAAATTCTCAAACAGATTAAAAGAAATGAACCAAAATCTACACCATAAAAATGATTGGATCAGCGTGTATCAAACCAGTAGTATTTGATAACTAGAGCGCCACATACGGAAACGCAAAAACAAAATCGTTTGGATATACACAGACTAAAATAACCTAATTAAAAGTAAAACTTGCATAAACTCACTAAAAACTTCAAGATTATAATTTTGCTAATCACAACTAAAACGAAGAGGGAGTTTGGTTACATAGAAGCTAAATTGTAGTTCAAAAGAGGAAAACACATTATAAACAAAAAGATATAACCGAACCACATTAACAACACAAAGGAAATATACAAAATCGTGCGGGTTCAAAACTTACTACAAACAAAAATATATAATCGACCCACTTAAACAAAACGAAGGAGAAGACACAAACATTAGCCAAATATATTCTACAAGACCCGAATGAATAAAGAATCCCCAAATCTGGACAACAATATTATTTTGTTTGTTTTAAATACCATTTCGCTTTTGTTCCATCCATGAACAAAATCCACAAAATTCTAACGCATTCCATTTAAATCAAATCAACATAATAATTTCATGAAGAATTTTTTAACAATAAGATGTTGCAAATCAGTGAGAAACTTGAGACTGTTTTGTTGTTATTGATTAACCGGTCCCATGGGAACGCTCCATAATCTCGACCACATCAACATCCCAAACCACCCAACTCTGCGTAGCACTCCGGTTCGGTGAATCATGCGTAACCGAGTTCCTCCAAGGTGGCACTCCCCCATTGGCTCTCAAATAATTCCCGCCGTTTCTACTCCTCAGCTTCACCCTTAATCCTTCTTTAACCGGTTCCCACTCTCCCGCCGGTTCACCGGTTCGAATCCTCCTCGACTGCACCACCTTATGCCCCGTCGCT